CGTGACGCTCGTCTTCATTCCCTACACGAGTAACGACTCGTACGGAGAACGGAGACTAGTTTCCCCCGGCTGTTCATCCGACGATCAAGTCTAGTGATGTACTGAGTGAAAAAGTGATGAACTGTGTGAAGTTCTCCCTGTTTGCGGAAATTTTGTGATAATCACAAAAGAAATTATAGGAAAGAATATGCGTTGATTTTATTCTCTCTAACTGTTTTAGAAAAAGAAGATTAGCAACTCTCTCAATCTCGATTACAATATGCGATTGCCTAGTTACAAAAGAGAAGAGCAGATGGTCTGGATTCTTTGTTTAACTCTGGTTCTCTCGTCTCTCTCTCATATATATATATTATACACCCAAAAACCAGATACTCGGAGAAGTCAGCGGCCCCCTACTCACCCCCACTACATCATCTGTGTGATTATCAGCATCCAACACATGTATACTGCATTAAGACTCCTTCACTGATTATTGAACATACATCTTAGTGTCTTGTAATTTAGACCCTCCTAATTTCTACATACACCTATGAACTGCATGCTGCCGGTCCACCTTTGGTAACCAAAAGCTGAAGAAAGAACATGTAATGTTATATACTTTGTCCTCTCTAATCAAAAAGTAACATGCTTTTACCCTTAGCCTTTATAGACTGCCCTTCTCTTTCTCTCTCTGTTTTTTTCTTTATCCTTTTGTGTACTGCTTAGCTGCAGAAAGGAAGAAATTTTGTTTCTTGGACATTGATTTCTTGTCTCCCACAAACATCTTTCAAGGGGGAGGGAGAGAGGGAGACTCAGTACTGCTTAGCTTGATGTTCGTTAGGTTTAACAATCATTTGTTAGGTTTAACAATAATATCATCAGAATATCAATTGTTTCCTGTGCTAAATAATTGTAAGAGAATAATTTATCTTTTGATGATGTCGTTTAGCATTTTAAAATTTAATCCGCAAGTGTTTAATCTGGTAATTAATAGTCAATTTACTAACTCTTGAATCTAGCAAACGCCAAGAAAATAATTACTCTTGAATCGATGCATTAGTCCTCAAGGTCACTTCATCGCATTGATTAAATAAAGAGCTTTGTTACATGGACCCAAAATATGAGACCAATAGGGGGTGCAAGTGAGGTGTCCACCTCCTATTGGATAGTGAGTTGGCCATCATTAATGATGGCCAACTCTTTATCCAATAGGAAGGGAACACCTCACTTGTCTCCTCTATTGATATCATATTTTGGGTCCTTGAGGAGTTTTTCTTAAATAAATAACAGTATTTTAGTACAGCGTATCAACATAATAAACCAAATTTTTTGAATATTTCCCCATTCAATAAGAGTCGCTATGAGTTGATATTTCACAATAATGGGATTGTCTCCCTGCATTTATACAATAAAAGGTATTATGTGTTCAATCATAATCATCCACCGTTTAATGGATGAGTATTAGCTACACTGAGTTAAAATTATGACACAAAGGGGGTAAAATGTTATACATCTTGCAAATGAATCACAATCATTTATTTATTACCAATGATTATAATTAAAGAATGCTGTGCCTGTCTCATTATCAGATCATAAGAATCCAAATCCATTTAAGAGGGCAGGCTAATCAAGCATATACGCCAACTTGTTACACGTGTCACCTTGACATATATGAATTAATCTACTTACCAACTTAAAAGTCTTGAACGATTGTTTGCATGTGCACCTTCCAAAATGTGGCACGTGTATTCATTTCTAAGCAACATGTAATAATAGGGCATGCTCCAATATTCACTACTTTACTCAAAGCAACGACCCAGCGCGTAAAAAAAGGATAAAAGGAGCCATAAAATTATTTCACATATGCTTAGTTATTTACTGTTTTCAAATTTGAACGTTGGTATTTATTGTGGCCTGCTAGCATTTATTGGGTTTTAATACCTGTGGTAGTTATGAATGTTCCCCCCCCATATATTTGAAAATAGAATTCAATTAAAAAAGGACAAAGAAAAAGGAAAATAAGAATGAGAACTAACTAGAAAGAGAATTCACATAGAGTTATTTCCTCACCTTTTTTTGTGCAGGAGTACCAAATTCTTGATCTGTTGACTTTTATCAGCCATAGCTGTTCTTACAACTGGTTTAAAATTGAAGAGGCTTCAACCGTATTTACAATCAAAATATAAGTCTGATTGCCGTATTTAAATCTATATACAACCCTACTTACAGAACAACGAATAAAGACCAGTGTCTTATCAATGGTTCCACTGTATTATATCCATAGAGAGCACATGACAAGTTTTGATTTTTTAAAGAAAAAGGAAAAACATTACATTATTACAACCACATAAGCGTAGGAAAAAAAAAAGAACAAGAACTTTAT